AAATTTAGGAAAAAGCAGTACTATTTACCCATCTTACACCATGAGGCAGCAATGCCATAAACTGCTCCGAGCGTCAGGGCACAGCAACACCTGCAGATTTTAATGAGAACTGTCCTTCTCACTTTTATGTTCTGCAGGGAGAAACATCATTGCCTCTCTTTTCTTAAATACTCTATCCAGCTGCAAAAAATTAATTATGTTTCCACCTGATTTGTCATTAAAACTTCAGAATCAGTGCTTAGATGAGATGGAGAACATTCTCATCTCAGAAAAAATTACCTGTGCTACTTTTAAACTAAAAATCACATCAATTAAGGATAAATTAGCAATCCGATTTGTTTTTTCTTTGTAAGTAAAGAAACTTTGTGAAAAGACAACTGTAAAAGTGTGGTTATATTAGGGAGTAGAACACAGCAGACTAGAGAAAGGAGCTGATCCGTGAAGCTTCAGTTATCTGGTGTGATCCAGTAGCTGCCTGCAGCTTCCTAAACCCATGAAGAGGCTACAATGAGATACCCGATCTTCAGCTGTACGATATCTTAAGTCATCTTTATGGCAAGAAAAAATGGCTCTTTGGAAATAATTTTGTCAGATCTGAGGAAACGCTGTCTGTTCTATAAACATTGATTTTCACAAAGACAACAGCACACAGAAATAGGATCTCTCTATTGTGCAATCAAGAAAATGGAAGAAAAAAAATCAATGAAAGCATTTTATGCAACTTTTATATTGTGGTATTGCCTTGTAAGATTAATTTCCTTTTTCAGAAGCTTTCCATAGGATTCAGCTATAAAACCTTTGAGATTCACTGATGCAAGCCAAATCACTCAATAAGGGATGTAAACCGCTATAAAAGAGTCCATAGAGTAGTTCTACAATGACTTACTGAGGTCAACTTCTCAATTTATTTCTGTTGAACTACTATGACCTACTCAGGTCCCTGCCCAGGCCTGACACACGCACCAGGCACTGGCACCGCAGGTGTCTGTGGCCAGACAGTCTGTACACACACACTCACGGTGGCTCCAGCACTGGAAGTAGTACAGAGATGCTGCCACTGGGTTACGGTACTTTGCTGCTTAGTAGGACAAATGAGCTGTGAGAAGTTCTGGTGCTTTGGTTCTCATTCTTGTGTGGCTCAGTGCCGTGTCTGTAGACAGGGAAGCCAGATGTAGATCAAGTCAGTCAGATGCAAATAGTCAAGAAAGCTGTTCTAGACCATGGGAAAAAGTACAAAAAATACCAACTTACCAGTGAAAAGAAGAAATGGAAGAGGAATTTTTTATGTGAAAAAAGCAGACTATAAACTGGGGAAAACTGTATGCAAGATAGAAACTACTGAACAACTATTTTCAAGAGAAGCTTGAAAACTGAGGCTCTGACTGTGCTTTCAGGGCACAGTGCCATTGAAGTGGCCCAATGCCTACATGCATTTGACACCATTCCTCACTTCAGCTTTTATCTTCTCATATTCAAAACCACATAGATGTCTACAGATGTGGACTACAAAGGCAGGGCATAGGAAAAACTGAGACAAGAGTCTCATGAACGTTTATGGCAGGACGTGGACTCCACAAAATGGAGGTTTAAGTGGTTCGATTTAGAAAAAGTGAAAAAGGAGAATGACAATAGCTGAGAAGAAGGGAGAAAAGAGCTTGAGTAAAACTTTAGCTATAAATGATAGCCAGTGTGTATAAGACAGTATATTGTGTTCCCCCATCCATCAGCTTATTTCTTTTTGAGGAGAATATTAACTTTTCCTTAAAGATAGGGTAATACTGCTGCTTATACAAACATCACATTATTCTGTAACCCTGATGCCTCTTTGACATTGGCTGCCTCTAAGTATGGATTTTCATTGATTCTGTCCTCAAATGATCATTTATCACTTCAAAAATTGCAGTAGTAATCTAATTTTGATCTCAATTTTACTAGCTTGAATCAAGGATAATTACATCACACTCGTGGAAGTGAGAACAGAGTGGTATTTTCTTAAATGGTGGATTTCTCCAATGCTGAGCTAAAAGTGAAGTACTTGTGATTTCCACAAATTTCTCAGGGGCTTTGACTACATCTCAAAAGTGTCTGCTTAGCAGTGAATGACAGGAAGAAATCATTCCATCCACTGTAGTGAAATGTTTCAAGTTAATTCCATCTTCCCGTCTTCATACTTAGGGTTTTATTCCTCTTTGGCAGTAATGATGAGTGAACAGAGCAGCAGCCTAGGACAAATACATGGATTCTTCTTCTGAACCTGTCGCTATGTTGTGATACTGAACTAACAACAAATGCCTTCAGTTTTCCCATCCCTTTAAATAGAATAATTTTCTTCATGATTGAAACTGAGCTCCCTTTATTAAAATTGCTATATAAGAACTAACCATTATGGTTAGAAAAGCTCCAGGTAAGATGAGAATGCCAAATGGATGTTGAACATGTTAAGCTTTGAGGAAACATATTAAGGTTTGAAGAAATTGTATTTTTGAATCTCTAAGGCAAGTTGTCTCTATAATACAGATCTGGAGTCATTGGGTGATATTTGCACCAAGAGGTTACATCACTTGAGGATAATGCTTTTGGTATATCTTACTGCATCACTGTAGAGGGGCAGAGCTGCAGTTTAGGAGATGTAAAATGCAAGAATAGTTATTTGGTTCTAAGGTGAATGGTTAAACGGCACTCTGTATTTGCTTCATTTGGCAATTATCTTTACTGAGCATCTTTAATAATGGCAAACATTTGAACCAGGTGTCATGTGCCTTCTTTAATGCATCTGAGCATGTCTGATGTGTTATTGCCTATTAACAAAAATAAGGCAAAAATACAACAGTTTGGGTACAGGCTGCTCACTCTAGAGCCTCTGAAGTACAACAGGTAGGGGTAGATTAAATGTTAAAACATTTATCACTCCAGACCTTGCCTACACTTCAGGTTCTTGAAAGAGTATCTTCTTTATCCAGGCAGCTCATCTCTCTTCTTATATTGCCATTACTAATGCTGGTGGTTTCCAAACGGGAGTTACACTAGAGTGACATCTGTTCTTTATGTGTGCATTAAAATAATTTATAATGAATCCAGAAAACTGCACAAAAATACTTCTCAAGGTAAATATAAACAGGTTGGTGTAGTGCCAACACTAAGCATTAAAAAGCAGAATAATTCCAGATTACTTTTTATTTCATTTAAAAAGTGACTGTCTACACTTGTTGATTGACAATAGAAATTTCAGATTTGATATTCTCAAGTTTTTATTTGCAAACACAAAAATGTGATGACTATATATTGAGATTCACATGCATCCGGTGTAACTTCAGGAGCTGAAAGTGGCAATCCTTCTCCCACAGCTACATGGTGAGAGTCATGAGATTTCTAAGGGAAAGAACATTTATTTACTGGGAGTCTCTCCCTGGCATAAGGGGGGGGGAAAGGTCCCTAAGTAAAGAAGGCATTAAAAAGGACATGCATAAAATTAAGAGACGATTTTGCAAGAGAAAAAATCTTGAATAAAATGTGGGCCAAGAGGAAAGAAGGAAATTATTTGGAACATTATTGGGAAAGTGGGGCAGGAAAAGAGGAACAGGGTACCTGGCTCCCTAGGAGTTTCCCAGCCTTCACATGCCATTTTTTATTATGACATGTCTTTGACTTTTAAAGCTATACACACCTGGCTGCTTTATACCAGAAATGAGAACTATATTTTGGAACTAAGTCTGAAATAATAATTCTTATAATTTATGGTTCGTCCAGTTGAAACTGTATAATTGTAAGACATAGCAAGAACAGAATGAGACAACTTTTGATTTTGTGGACAGAATATTCCTACAAATATTCTAACAGTCACTGAAATTTCAACAGAAGGAAGGATTTACTATGACATAGCAAACACAAAGCCTGAGAAAAATGAACTTTGGAGGAGATACTGTCTATGGGAAAACAAAAGAGGAAGCATTATATTGTATTATATGATGTTTTACGTCATCTGCAAGGTATAAAGCACTAAATTATAATTATACTGTTGTATATTTTATTTCATCAGATAAATAGCAAGTTGAATATTTAGAGAGAAGCAGATTTAAAAAGACAACAGAACACCCTTTTATGGGCTAACAAATCAGCTGGAACGATGCACACATTTTATGACCTCTCTTCTGTTGTTGAAACAGTGCCAGAAACCTTGGTTGGAATTTTAAGATCTGAAAGTTTCCTTTTGTACATGTTTATAGTACAATCTATGTTGATCTTATAAGATTTTCATAACAGAAGTACATAGAGACATTTTATTGTCTCAATACTAAAGAGAAATCATTGTAATAGTGCCCACCATCTCAGCAAAATAGATCTGATTTTTTGAACGCGGGTATCAGCAGGACTTCTGACTCAGACTGCTGGAAAATGCTTCAGAGCATCATACCAGAAAGTGGGCTCAGAGACAGAGAAATACCCATTTTGAATATGAATTCTGGAAGTGGCACCGTATCTTTAGAAGCACATTCCTGACGGAAGCAGCGTGTGATGTTTCTGTGCTCCTGGTTCCCATCAACTTCGGTGTCCCCCAGAGCCATCAAGGCTGCTTTCCCGGCTCCATGTTTTTCTACCGTTTTCCAAACTGCCGTCTCAATTCCGCGGAACCACGATGGCAGCTCTTCCCGTGTCCCCACCGCGCTTGGGAAAATCTCCGTGCCCTCACGAACGCTTTATCACCGAGAGCGCGGCGGCGCCCGTGACCCACAGAGGAGCCGCGGGGGGGAATCCCGCCGCCCCGCCCGAGGTAACCCCCGGTGCGCGGGCCCCGCCGGCCGCGGAGGGGGGTGTGTGTGTGTGTGTGTGTGTGTGTGTGTGTGTGTGTGTGTGTGTACCGTCTCCCCGGGAACCCCCGGCCGGGAGGCGGCGGGGCCGGGCCCGCGGCACCACGCAC